CCCCGCTGAGAGCTTCTATTAAGTTATAAAGCAAAGGCAGATATCTTTATGTAAGTATCCAGCTCACATTTCAGCAAAGTCCTATGATACGACAAAAGCTGTCCTCAAAATATCACAAGATTTCTCCAAAGTCACATGGAAATTAGAAGTTGGAAGAGTGACTTGACCATTTGCCTTAGTATTGATGGATGGCTAAAGGAAAAAGAATCCTTCATTTGATTAATAAGAAATGTTTAAGTATGTTGTGACTAGAGCCACGTTCTGGAATCCTCATGAGACACAATGTCTTTTATCCATGGAGCTTGTGTTCTGTGAGTAAAACCCAGAAAAAAAATCAATCAATATATAGATAAAATAATTACAGTTCTTTTCAGACTTACCTAAGGTTGCTAAAAAATGAATGAATGAATGAAAGAAAGAAAGAAAGATTTCTGAGGTATTGCATTTTGGTAGGTCCCTGGGGTACACAGAAAGGCAATCAGAAAGAACAGAAAGAATAGGGCCTAAGGCCGCAAAACCCAGTATAGTCCAGGGACTAGTGGAATGTCCTGTTAGTACACAGGTATGCATGTGTTGTAAATGAGAAGATAGGGACCAAGTATGGTAGTAGTGGGTTTGCATTTCATTTCATCATGAAGAAAGCAAAATAACCTGAAGATGGGAGAGAGCGAAACACACTAGTTTTTGGCTGGGAAATGGAGAAAATCAGAAAGGGAACTATTACTGAAAATTTCAAAATAACAAAAAGGTTGTTTCTACCTTCATCAAATAAAATAAGTGTTAGCACTAAGCCCTTTCACTCACTAAATCTTCTCATCTCCTAAACATTTGAATCTACCACCTTGACAGTATCTGCTGCGGCAATAAAGCTAAGAATCATGTCCAGATAGATAGTTAGCTGGGAGGCAAACTGGAGGTGTCGAGCTAAAGCATCGTGTGGCTATTTGTGCTTTTCAACATGACAGGTGTTCAGAGACATGGAAGACTAATTGTGGTAATTAGTCCATTTTCTCCTCCCTGTCTTTCTGATTATGTGAGAATATTTGGTACTCTCTGGATTTTGCCTTATTTTTGAGTTTCATAAGGGCTTGAAATCCTTTGCTTCTTGGATTCACTAATAAATATCCGCTAACTTTGATTGGAAGTCCCTTTGGCGGGTTCATTCCCCTTGCCCCAGTGATTTCCAATTTGCTAGGCTTTAACATTGTGTATCGTTAATTGTGTTGAGTCGTGTTTGGGAAGATTCAAAAGCAGAGAAGACTCATGCTTGTGTACATTCAAAAGCAGAAAAATCACATCACTAAATAATCAAGGGATTATTGACTGATTCTTTTTGATGGCAGAAAATACTGAGAATTATAGGGGTCTGGTAAGGGGGCAAGTCCCTTGTATGGTATTGTCTAGTCTCTTAGGCTCTTTCTGTTTTTTTTTATGTATTTAATAAAGACAGAAAATTTCATGGAGCCAGTCGGATTCTTTGGAAGTAAGAAGCATGATGGTCCTCAGTGTTGGATAAGGATGATTTTATGAAGGACTTACTGTTTGGGCCTGGAGGCTGACACTTGTGGATCCTGGCTTTTAAGCTAGATTTTTTTCCAGTCCTTGATCGTGTGGATTTTATTGTAGTGTTTGTCGTCTTGCTGATACTTGGGCAGCTGTTCTTTGAGGTCAATGCTGTAGCAATCGGTGCCATTTTCATAAGCTAAGAAATTGACTTCCCTATCCATGTGGAAGATACATTATTAACTTCTTTTATTAAAATACATTTAAAGGTTAAATCCATTGGAAGTTTTACCAGATATGATTACATTTTATTAAAGATTGGTACTTTAGCTCTAGTTTGAAATGAGAGTATTTCTGAAAGGTTATCTTGACTTAGTCTCTATAAGTAGTTTTTCTCTTACTGTGACTGACTGCTCCTTGCCCTTTGTGCCTGTCCTTGATCTTGGTAATAGCTGAGATGGCTAGAGAAGAGTAGGGATTTTATAGTGTTAGTTAGCCCACTGCTGCTACTGAGAAAACAAAGCTAGGTCTAGTCTGGCCCACTCAAGAGTTGTCAATCGCTTTATGTCTTGCAAGGGTAACTAACTCTTCTATAGTGTGCTCATAACAACCAATCATTTTCATTACTACAATCACTTATTCTTGTTTCACTCTTCTTACATCTGTGTCCGAGTATGCCACCAGTCAGTGTCTGTCTGGGAATGTGTGGATTTGTGTGTGTGCACTTCTCTTCTCCAACTCTGGACTGCTCCTGAGGGAATGTGAACTCTTGCATGGAGGGTTTTTTTTATCAAGGCTGGGGCACCAGCTATATCGTTTGCATTTTTGCACAGGAACTTATTCTTTGGTAACCGTTCCAAAAAAAAAAAAAAGAAAGAAAGAAAACAGAGATCAAGCTAAACCTTTGAAATGATGGAAAACTTTGTCTAAATCAAATTGTAATATAACTCCATGTTTGGATGGATCTATTGTTGGATATGCAACAGTTAGTTCTTAGTCCTGTGGGAAGTCTTAATCTTCTGCTCCTGTCAACGGCACAGCCACTCTCCCATTTGAGGAAGTAAACAAATGAAATCTGTATTACAATTCTATTTTTTTATTGAAAATATCTCCAAGTTCCAGGGTTTTATAGACTCAACTGAAGTATTGCTTTTCCAATGATATCTGATAAGAAAAATCCAGATTATTTCTAACTCCTGGTCAACAGAGCACCAAGATACTGTTAGAGTAACTATCTTTTTTTTTTCTATTTTGCCTAAGTTGAGTGATGTTTGAGGCGCTGAGTAAAGACAGCCTGAGACCCAGAAAAAAGCCATTAAGTCCCAGATGTTCAGGATTTCCAAGGAAATGTTCTGTGCCTTTGGTTATTACTCAGATGGCTCCTTAAATGCTCTCATCTTGGCACCTTTTGCACTTGCTAAATCCAATTTGAGGAAAGAACTGGAGAGAGGGGGAATTTTGTGGAAAGCAATTAGCCTGCACTTTGGTGACCTTCTTGCTTTCCGCACCATGATGAAGGGCTGGTTCGCTCTTGGATCAGTCAGCAGGTTGATTCTTCTAGAATTGTGTGACATGTTATAGATAATCAGTTTTATCTAATTAAACAATAATGATGACAGTGTATGACATTTTCTGGGAATTAATGAGCAGCTGGGAAAAACTGATGGCTGGAGAGTCAGCCAAACACTGTTAGCTTCAGTCCACCATTAATCTCCAGAAATGCCCACTTGTGACATCATTGTTGGTATCGAACAATGAAAATGGAAGACAATTTACTGATATTCAGTGTGCAGTCCCTAGTAACACACTCTCCTTATGCATTATCTGAAAGTTATAGCTTTCCTTTTTTAGCCCCAATTACCCCTTAATCTTAAAAAAAATGTTTTCTATATAGCAGATCCTAAAAATGGGTTTCTTGGTTTCTAGACAATGGCAGTGTATTTTTAAGAGTTCAGATTTGGAGAATTTTATTTTAATATTTTGCAGGGTAAAACCAGAATGTTTCTTCAGCTGTGATACTGGAATTTGAGATGTGTATCTATTATCATGACTATCTCCTCATGGCAGGAAATGGTTGCAAATGTGTTGAATAGTAGCTGTTGCTAGCAAGCATGTGAACTCACCAACAAGATTCTTAGAAGTCATAGTAACACTGCTAGTAGATGATGGGAACTCCCTGCCAGGAAAAGCTGAGATGGTGTGTCTATACAATGTTTTTGATTACTGCTGCTGAATGCTAGAGGAAAATTGGACTAAAATATTCACTAGCTTCTTACATAATTTAATAATATTTCTATATACAGGTTCGGGTGTGCTATCTATCAAGAACTTTTTCTAAATCCTAAATGGGAATTTTTTTCTTGTGTTGTTTTCCATACCATTTGCCTCCTACAAGAAAGAAAGTTCTTTAAGGCCACTGAGACCCCAGCCAATGAATTTTGAATTCTTTGCCAAAAACAACCTTTGGATATCATCTAAATTCAGCCATAAGTTGTTTATTTTGCACACCACAGGCTTTATTCCCTGTAAGAAATGGGCTGGTGGTAGCCATCAGTCCTTCTAAATGCATGTTAAGTATCTGCATTTGGGGGAGTAAAATGAGTCAGCATGCCATTAATCACAGCTTCGGAGGCACTGACTCACTCCCAGAGAAATGTAATGGCCTCATTGGGGAAGGGTGTGAAAGAAAAACTCCATTCTTGGGTCAGTTCCCTGTTTCTGCAAATGCAAATCAAATTTGCACCCACTTCAGTGGGTGGTTTTCAAACTAAAGAAAGTAGCTGTGGACCTTATAAAGGCACACATCCAGCTTTTCCAGGAAAATACAGTAAGGAGACAGAACCCTGCTTAAACACACAGTGAGCCTAAGAAGAAAAACAGAGCTCACAAGAGCCTAGTGGGCATCTAAGCCCCAAATTTGTAAACCTGGCCCTATTCTTGTACAATTCAGTCAGGTAGGTCTTTGATCCACTGTTAATTTGGGGGCACTCAGTAGAAAGCTCTCATCTTCAGTAAATGGCTTTGAACTTCTGAAGGACATTTACAAGGACTTGGGTCCTTTTTGGAAGTCAAAGCATAGAGAGCAACTTGGAAGTCAAACTCTTGTTAGGTTCAGATTGAGAAGCGAAACATAACTGATTGTTGGTGTGCCTTGTGACATTTCATCTTTAAATGGTTATATAGCCTCTTAAGTTGAAATGTGGGGTCTCTGTGGTGTTTCTTTAAATACAACATGCTTGTCAACATAAAAATATTATACTATGGGTACAATTTGATGCTATTAAATTTTATTGTATTCACAAAGCAGGTATAGATTATCTAGTAGTTAGCTTTTCTCAGGATTTTTTCAGACTCCTTAAAATAAAATTGCCAAGTTGTTAAAACTTTGTATAAAAATGTTGCTTTGTTAGTCTTCCCTGGGAGGAGGTTTGATTGAAGATGTTCGCTGCTTTCATGAAACTCTAACTTGAGTTCATTTTGTTATGTGGTGACCACAGTTCTGGATGACGCCCCCCCTGGCACACAGGAATACATAATGTTACGGCAAGATTCCATCCAATCCGCGGAATTAAAGAAAAAAGAGTCCCCCTTTCGTGCTAAGTGTCACGAAATCTTCTGCTGCCCGCTGAAGCAAGTGCACCACAAAGAAAACACAGAACCCGAAGGTTTGTGCAAGACAGACACATGTTTTACTTGTTTTATCCTCTCTCTCTCTCTCTCTCTCTCTCTCTCTTTCTCTCTCTCTTCCTCGTTTTGGATTGTGCATTGCCGTGTGGTGTGCTGTGTGTTGTTCAGTCCCTATGACAGCTGTAGGAGACCCTGGCTCACTGGTGACTGTGTTATGCAGTGTCAGTTGGGACACTGTAGAACACAGTCATCTCCGCACAGCGTGCAGCATCCTGCTTCTTGCAGCTAAAACATTTTCCGTTGATGTCATGACACTATATCATTTTGGCTGCCAAAGTTGCTTGCTCCTGTAACCAACACCTGCCCAAATCTGTTCCCATTGCCTTGCATTCCTGAAGCAGCAGCCAGCTGAGGAATGACACTTCTAAAAGGAAATAATGAGAAGACTGTTTCAAAATTTTCTTTCTCTTCTCCACCCCATAAAGCTTCTGCATTGCTTTGGAAGAATGTTCATGATCAACTTAGTTTGCTAAAGCAGTACCAGACTCCCTAATTAATGCACGTCCACTTGCGCTTTGCCACAGTAAGATGCATGTCTTGCGGAAACAATGAGGTGTTTTTATCCTTTTTTTTTCCAGCTCAATACAGGTTTGGAGAACTCAACTTGTTACTTACTTAAACTCAGATTGATATGGTGTTCTTTCCACTCCATGTCACAAATCTATCTCTAACGTAACTATTCTGGCTAGAATGCATATTTATCCACTTTCCAACATTTTTGCATGTATCAAACAGGACGATTTTACACAATACAAATGCAATGAGGTGATTTTATTGTTGTCAAATGTGAATTTCCACTTTTAAAATGACTTTCGCATATTGCATATTCATGTGAGGGGTTCTTTTACAGTAAGAAATTATCTTCTGGTCATTCATGATTGATGGAGCTTTCTAGTGTACAACATTGGATGTGACAGCAGTCATCTCAATGGCAGTTGGAGTATACTTTTTGCATAATGTCTTCATATATCCTGTAAGTGACTTTGTTCCTATATCAAGTTACTCTTTTGCAGCTTCATAAGAAACCTCGTTACACCCATGTTTCTCATGTGGAAAACAAGGACACCTGGTTTCGTTTAAAGTTTGGTATGTAAGAGGATGACATACAGTGAGCTCCAGTTCGTAGTTTTCAAAGTGAAATGTGTCACCTCAAAATGTCCCTTTCTCTTTCTTCCAAACAGGATTTTAAGTGCTCATAGGCAGAAAATTAGAAGTCTCTATCTAGGCTCAGGTCTATTTTGGTAGTGGAATAAAACACTTGCACTTATTTCCTACCAATAGTTTTGCTAATCTAAACCATCGACTGTGGCTGAGACCTAATGTCGATAAGTAATCTCCTACAAGTATTAATGGTGACCTTTTACAATGGGTAAGATCCATCTCAGCGTGCTTTAGTTGAGAAAAATTTAGCTTGATTTTTAATGTTGCCGAAACAAGAATTTTCATCAATGATAATTATTTTATTATATACAGTACAATCCAGTATGTTCTGCTTTCTTTTCTCTCATACTCTTTATGTATCTATGTATATATATATATATATATGTACACACACATAAATATACATATATATATATATATATATATATATATATTATGCTGGTAAGCAAACTGAATATTTTGGTTTGCATAATAAAAATGTTGTTTAAAAATTACTGGTTAAGTTCAGTAAAGCCTTTGGTTAGAAACTTTAAATTTTTCTTGACAAGTTTAGATTTTAGATTAAGTAAACAGTCTAGTAAATGTAAGGCCATTATTGCATAACTTTGGCAGAATTTGTTCATTTTCAAGCACTGTCTGGAGTGCATTGTGAATACTGTCATAAATGTTTTTAGATATAAATTATTAAAAATGAGTAGCCATCAGACTCTCTACAATGGATGCACAGTTTTCAATCTTTCATTTCAAATCCATAAATTCAATGGTTGGCAATATGTTGAATATTACTGTTATCTTCATGCCTGTAATTTTTTGAAGAGAGACGTCGTCTTCTTTCAGATGATTGGTTGTCCTCCTGGCAGATACTTTGACATACCAGAACTAAAACTTCCTTTCTTATTCCTAATAATCATTTAGAAATAGCATTAGATTCATCAGAAGCTTTCTTTGGAGATATTGTAACACTATTTTCAGTCATACTTTATCCATTCAAACAAGGAAGGATTCCTGTGCTATTGGTGAACATAGACAAATTAATTAAAACCTTTTGTCCCTATACAGATCCATAGCAGGCCAAGTATCTTAGATGGCGGCATACCAAATGTGTTGTGTACAGACCTTGGAATAACATGCTTATTTTCATGTAGGAAATGGGAGTTTGTCATTTCCAGGAGGTGAAATGTCTATTGATTTGGAAGGGTTCAGTGGCCAGTTTGGCAACCTGGAAGATTTTTGCAAGACTGATTTTTCAATGGTATCGTTTCTAGTTCTGTCTCAAAGCTGTAACATTTTGCAATATTTACTAGAAATAAAATGCTGCTTCCATATTTTAAACGGATATTGGTGATAAGTTATATGGCTACATGGAAATATTTTACTGTCATATGATTCATCGTAATGATGTGTTCCCTTTCATAGTCACTGTATTGTAGTATCGGACTATAACTGACATTAGATGTGGATTCCTATAATTTCAAAGTAGGAACAAATAATAATCAATCTTTCCATTGTTTGGATATTCATATAATATTGGAAACCATCAATTGAAAAATGAAAAAAAATCACTAAGACTTGAAAAAACAAAAGTTTGAATAATAGCAAAACATCTGTGTATATTATGTAAAAGCTGCTTTTCTTTTAATTAATTGACAAAGTCAACTTGTTTATATTTTTGTGTTTTTTCTTTTATAAAGTTTTGGTGCTTCTTTTGGCTGTCAATGGTTATGAAGAGCCAGGCTATTTCCATTGTTTATGACCACTTGAGATGATTAAAATAGCATAGTTAATATTGTTCACAGTCATCTATCTTTCAAAGACATTTTTGGATTATGTTCAAGACCTTCAGAATCAATGCAAAAAGTTCTTAGAAATATCTCACTATTTTGTTGCTTTTTTGACACACTAAAGCCAATTATAGTTTGCTAAAAGTAAGTTTATATTAATGAACAGCCAATTTCAAAACAAAATTTTAAATCTCATCCAAATTCTTCTGAATTTATATGATGTGATCATTTCTATATCATCCACTTATGATATAATTGAGCACTTATACATAAACTGGAATTTGGCTGAAGAAGACCATATGAATATCTGAGAGTCTGATTTGGCTCAATACCAGCAATGTTCTTTGTTAGAAGAAAGCTGTTGCATGGAGAGTGGAGATCATTACCAACATATTTTTCTTGTGGTTCCAGGAGCCTTTGGCAAGAGAAAGCATAATCTTCAGAGCTTTGTTCCTTTATTCACTTTCTTTTCCTATACCATGGGTGCCAAAATGAAACCACTGATTTAGTACAACTTCTGGAAGCCAATCTATTTTCAGCATAGCTTCTATTTCCTAAATGCTACTCATTGGGCTTTTCTTAATGTTTAAAGATTGCTAAAAAGAGAGTCACAGCCAAGATATCCAAGCTTGAAAGTAGGTAGGTAGTCTTTAAGATCCAGAGAGATAGCTAGTAAATTTCTAGTGTTTGGTTTTACAAGTGAAAATTTTTATTATAATAGTAATTTTTGAAGTTAATGTGATATAAAAATAGCATCAACCTCAGTGATCTATGAACATCTTGTAATCTGAAACTTGAATTCTGGCCTGTATACTGTTTTGTATTCATGGTGAATGTGGGTATGTATACACACACATTTTTATCCCTGGGCACATCTCTAATGCTTTTATTCCTGCAAGTATCATTTGGGGAATAAAATATGTCCTAGAACTGGGTGATAATATACAATACCTTGCACCAGCAAAGTTCAAACAAAGTTTTCTGCTAAGTGCTTAGGAGATTGTGTTTATAACCACAACAATGGTGTTATTCTGACTTCAATCCTTGCTGTCTTCACCTCATAGCAAGCACATGGGACCATGAGCATCAGTCTTACTTAGCTAATATGAGAGAGGAAAAGATAGGAGACTATAAAGCAGTATGGCTAGGAAAATGTAGGGTTTTCTTTTTCTCATTTTTTAAAAAGCAATTTTACTATTTGCTCTTGTGACTTTTTCATTTTAATACCAATTTAACTTTTGGGAAACAAGTTCAGTGTTGATTTGAATTACTACACAATTTGATAAAACTAAGCCACTGTTATTAAACCTCTTTGTTGCTAAATTACTTGAGTAACCACCTCTGATACTGGATACCTGAAAAGGTCATAAAGGTCTTTTAGGAATGATAGATATATCTGTGTGTTCCCTTGAGGATGACAATTGAGAAGAAATTCCTTTTCTATTAAAAAAAACTAGAAGGGTATGTTTAGATGATATGAATATAAAGAGTTCATGCTTAATCTTTTTATTGCAGAGCAAATATGACTTAGGTCTTCCTGTCTTTGCTTTATGATCTCAAGAATAAGTAGAGGACACCAGAAAATCTTCTACACTCATTGACGCAAATGGCAGCTTAATTGTTGTCTGTCAGAAATGATAAAGATATTGGTTAGCATAAAATTCAGAAATAAGAAGACCATGCTGATCAGCAATGATTAACCATAACATTTCCCCACCATGTATCCAGGTGTGTTTCTTTTGGTTGCATGTCAAGTATTTCCTAGAAGAGAGCTTGTTTCCTAATAACAGTAGGAAACAATCTATGGACTTGAAACATAGTCTCCATTCCTGCCTATTTCTTCACCCTATATAAAATTAAGTCAGAATTTGGGCATCACTTTTCTCTTTGAAAAAACTCATGATCTAATCAAGGAAGTATACTTAGCAACTAATAATTCAATTTCAGCACACAATGGGAATTTATTATTATTCTCTTATTGAACATATACATCCCAGTTCCATCTCCAGGCTAACTTGTACAGTATAAACCAATAA